TTATTGATTTCAGAGAGGAAGGGAGAGGGAGAGAGAGAAGCATCAATGATGAGAGAGAATCATGGATTGGCTGCCTCTTGCATGTTCCACACTGGGGATCGAGCCCACAACCCGGGCATGTGTCCCGACCGGGAATGGAACCGTGACCTCCTGGTTCATCGGTCGGTGCTCGACCCCTGAGCACGCCGGCCGGACGCAGTTGTGGTCTTCACATACTTGGGCCTAGCGCTCTCTCCGTGATGCCTCCTGTCCTGTCCTGCAGGTTTGAACTGGAAGGAAAGAAGATTCGTATCAACCTGTCCTGTGCGGTATTTATCACCGTGAATTGCGGGTAAGCGTCAGCGCGTGTGTCGCAGGCGTGGGCCCACCTCTAGCCATCGGGTCTGGCCATCGGGGGACCCTACAGGGTCGGGCACCGCGGAGCTGCCATTCCAGGGGGCTTCCCAGCATGACGTGTTGCAGAGCTGAGGGGAGGAGCAGTAGGAACGGGAAGGGAGGGTGGAGGCCGAAGGATCGGTCAGTCTCTGCTCCTGGAAGGGGATGGTGATGGTGCAGGTGAACTGTAGGAGGAGGCCCGGGCAGACACGAGCATAAAGGAGGAAGCTCTGTGAGATGAAAAGTCGGACAGGAGCTGAAACCGGTGTGGCTCAGTGGATAGAGCGTCGGCCTGCGGACTGAAGGGTCCCAGGTTGGATTTCGGTCAAGGGCGTGTACCTTGGTTGCGGGCACATCCCCAGTCGGGGGTGTGCAGGCGGCAGCAGATCAATGTTTCTCTCTCATCGATGTTTCTAGCTCTCTATCCCTCTCCCTTCCTCTCTGTAAAAAATCAATAAAAATATATTAAAAAAAAATAAGGAAAGTCGGACAGGAACTACCTCCTAAGCTTGTTTTCGGATAAAGATCACATAGAACGCCTGTGGGATTCTTGGGGGGAAGTTACAACATGTGGCAACGTGTGTGGAAACCCGAAAAGGGGTGTTTCGTGTCCTGTTTCTCTTGCCCTCTTCAGGGACAAGGGTCACGTGGGTCTCCCCCATACCTTAAAGGCCCTCTTCCGCCCGGTGGCCATGGTGGTGCCCCACTATGAAATGATCGCCGAGATCAGCCTGTTGGCCGTCGGTTTCCAGTCTGCAAAGTCGCTCTCCAGGAAGCTGGTGAACCTGTACGGGCTGGCCAGCACGCAGCTCTCCCAGCAGGTAACGCACGCACGCTTTCCTCGTGGGAAGGTGATGATGCAACACCTGTC